GGAAATCATTTTTTTTTCACTGAGAATTACCCTTCTGTGATGCCAATGCTCAGTGAATGTGAACGTCTTAACGCAGTTGGAATGCTGCAGGCTGGTGTAGCACAGAATGTTGTTGCAAGACGTTTCAAAGTCCATCCACTCTTTATGGCGACGGTTCCAACAAGCAGGAAATGTCCGAGATCGACCACGTTCAGGACGTCCTCGTGTAACGTCACATTAACAGGATAACAATATTAGAGTGGTTCACCTTAGTGTTATGACATATAAAAAATCAATACAGGATATAGACTGCAAGTTTGACCGCTCGCAGCATTCCTGGTCTTTGACCGATTAGTCCCAGAACATTGTGTAACCGTCTGCGCAAACACAGCATCAGACCATGATGTCTAGCATCTTTCAAATGCCCTAAAAATTACGTTTGGTGACGTTAACATTAATTGACTACCTTTTGTAACCAATGCATTTGTTAACAATACTGCAAAATTAAAATATATTTGTTCGGTTTTTCATGATTTTTTTCATATTTTACGTGATGCACAGTTTCTTTTTTCCGCTAGTATATATATGTGTGTGTGTATGTTAAAAACATAAATTACTTCAATCAAAAGAATGAGGTCCTTAGTTATGAAAATATTTGTTAAAGTGAATCCTTAATATAATCTATGAAAATTACACTAGAAACAGTTATGTCTACCACAAAAAATATATAAATTTTAATCACAAAAAAGAAAAATAATATTCATTTCTTATTTTCTGAACTTAATATTATGTCAGCTACTTGGTTGTAAGCCTGTATGCAGTTAGAAATAATTATCTGTTTTGAACTAAATTATAGTTCAAATGTCAGATGTTTCAGATAGTTAATGTCTTATATTTAAGCCTATAATAATTTTCATATTATATATATATATATATATTGTTTTCATTATAACAGGACCAGTAATCCTATTACATTTTTTACATACATTCTATGTGCTAAGTAATTGCAGTGTTGGGGCTGATGTTTTATGTTGTCTGTTGCATTAAAAATATATTATTG